TTAATACAGTTTTCCTTTCTTAAAATGTGTACACATTTTTTTTGCACCCTCTATACTTATAAGGGCAGATGTGAGGGTGGGCATTCCAGACCAAGAGCAGGGAAAGAACGACTACATGGAAGTGGGCAAGTATTATATAGAAGGGAGTAGTTCACTGTGGCTGAATTAAAGGAATAGCTAGCTGGCTGAAATGATAAAATTAGAAAAGGTGAATTCGAGACAGATTGTGGAAGGCTCAGACAGCCTGGGGGGTTTGGATTTTATTGCAATGGGGAGCCATTGAAAGGTTTTTGTGAGGAGGGGGAAAAATTATTTGAACATTATAAAAAGAACACAATTCCAATATTATAATCATCATGATGGGGGAATGTGAAATATTCAGGTTTTCTTTAAGTTTCTTCAAGTCACTTGAATGTATTTGTTGCTACCTTCATACAATTTGCACTGTGTATTATCGCTTATTCTCACTACAAGCACATATCCCAAGAAAAAAAAGTAGGGTAAATGGAATATCTGATGGTGATTTGTGGCTCTGATCTCAATCTAAATGAGACTAAAGTGACTAACACTTCTTCCAGGAGGAAGAAAGCAGAGGGGAGCCACAAAACAAGAAGCAGGAAGGAGAGTGAACAGAGACAGCTGTGGGGGTGGCGGGGAGGAAAACTGAGCTGGAGACCACATTTATTTTTGTGGTTGTCACTGCAGAAGTCTTTGTCCTCTGTAAGGCACAATGACGTGCTGTTTGGATATAGTCTGTCCTGATGGAGTCACCAGGAGAAGACACTTCTTTTCTTAAGGAAACACACCCTTGAGGGAGAATGACTGCCCTTCTTCAGGGCTTTTCTTTCACCAGTTTTCAGTGACCAGACTCGTCTCTGTCCAAAGCCCCTGTGTCACACATATGCCACGCAGTGCTCTGGGTGAACTCCCTTGGACTGCAGCACTTTACAGCCCTAGGTTCTGGCCCTGCTCTGTGACCTACGAGCTGTGCTGATAGGGAATCCATCTCTCTGACTTCCCTTCTTGCTTTGGTAAAAGTACTTCACAGGTGGCTCCTAATAGCCCTTCAAGCTATAAGATTCTGTGACTTTGTAAATGCATATAGGATTATGGATTTCAGCTCTTTGGGAAGGGGTAGGAGAAGAAGATACTTTGTGCTTTTAGAAACAGATATTAAAACTGCTTCCTGTCCCTCTGTTAACCAAAGTGGACAATTTCGCATTACTTACTTACAGGGAGAACCGATGGTGTTTGGTGAAGTGTCAAAACCTCATGCACATGTTTACCGCGAGGTGAGTGAAATCTTTTTTCATGTTATTTTCAACATGAAAACTTTATTTAATAAAGTAATACATAAAATTAAAAAGAAAAATAAAGAGATGCTATGGTAACCACTTTAGTTTGAATAACACATCTGTTTTTGGAGAAAGAATGAAAATCAGAAAAAGAAATATGCAGAAATGTAGTCATTTTCCTCCTCCCTCCAGGAGAGAAATCTGGCCTCTATTTTTGAGCCAAGTATTTGAACATGGCCTAGTTAGAAGTATAGCCCAACAAGTTTATAACAGGAAAATAAGATTCAGAGAAAGGACAACCCTAAAAGGGTTAGGTGCTAAAAGTAAGGTCTTCTTGTTCTTTGAAAAGAACTAAGAAGGATTATTTTGATGATGTAAAGATGCTGATTTCTAATGAATGTGTGTCAATTTATTTCCCATTTTAGAGAAAGTGATATAAAATTTCTTGAAGAATTAGGGAAAAAATGATTTTATTTTTCTCCTACTTGGGCGATTTTATTTTACTCTTACTCTTCAATAGAGGCATATTTTTTGTGTGTTTCTAAATGCACTTGGACTTAATCCAATTGTCACTCATCTACTGTTTGTCCCTAATGGATGAGAAATGCTACCTACTGGTAATTACCTCTAGCCTGCTGGGAAAGTATCAGGCTGACCTGATGCTATAATTTCACCTTTACTGTCACAGTTCAAGAGGTCAGGGAAGCCAAGGTTGGTCTGAGTGCTGTGCAACTGTCAGCAAGGATTAAAGGGAGTGACTCACTCTTCCTTCACACTTTACCCATTGCCATTTCCCTGGCAGCTGATCTTTTCAGAAAATGGTGTCTTGGAGAGGAAACATAGGAGAGAGAAGAGAAAAGACAAGAGAAGACGGGAGGAAGGGAAACATTAGCTTCATATGTTTTATATCACTCCAGCCCATACATTCATTGTGCAGTGCCATAATGTTCCTCCCTTCCTTTGATATTGCTATTTACCAATTCAAAAGGTTGATTCAGTTAAATGATTCAAGGGCTTTCTTTTATTTTAAAAAATATCTCTAAAACGAAGGTGCAGGATATAAGCTAATGCTAGAAGATAAGAACAGTGCTCAGGAACAAGAATATCGTGTGTGTAGCAGGAGCTCTAAAACCATTTCATGATGAATGAATGGACGAAAGAGCAAATGAACAAGCCGTGATGCCCTAAGTCAAATATATAAATGTTGAGCTAACGCAGCTGTTTTATGGATTCTCAGATTCATCTTCCTAAAAAAAAACAAAAACAAAGACAAAACAAAAAAAAAACCCAAAAACAAACTCTAAAATATATATGTTATGGCTCATAACATAAACACCATGTCTGTACAACCTTGAGAAAAAAGTTTTCTGCAGTTACACACATGGGCTTATAAACACGAAGTGGTATTCATGATTACTGCCTTTTCTAACTCCTCTTACAGACTGGTAGAATGATAGAGCTGGGAGGGGACCTTCCTGATCACTTCACCACCTAATGGGTCTCCTTATTTCACAGATGAGTAAGTAAACAGAGGCCTAGAAAGGTTACGTGATTTGTCTAAACACACATGGTTAAGAAATGACTGAGCTACAATAGAAACCTGGGTCTTTTGGCCTTGAATCCAGTGTTCTTCCTACTGCACTATACCACAAGTTACAAAAAAAAAAAAATTTCCCTCAGTTATTTGGGGCCCTGAAGCCCTGAAGTTGCTACCTCAGCTCAAATCAAAAGCTAACTCTACTGGGTTTCCTGATTCTACATAGAGAGAGCATGATGGTTCAGAAGATGAGAAAAATCAGCACCTACAAAATCAACATCTCTCATGAGTCTGGAAATGGAGGAGTGAAAATCCTCTGGTCACAATGGTAACAAACAAATGGAATACGGATTCCTGATGCAATGAGCAAAATGGCATGGACTTGGACATAGGAACTATGTGTTTTTAAACCCATGAAAATACCAAAGCAACTTTTATTCTATTAAGTAGGGCTTCGATGGGTTTAGGGCAGCCATAAGAGCCTTCTCTCGCCTTTTGAGCTCCTTCTTTTGCTGGGCCCACTCCAAACTTTTTGGAGTGTACTTTCTCTTCTAATAATGGCCGTTTGAGCCATTCTCTACTGCTCAGGCAATCTTCTATTTCTTTGAAGTGTACTATCTCTTCTACTAAACTGCTCTTTCACCACTTAAAAAAAAAAAGAAAAAGAACTTCTCTCATATTTTAGTTCTCTTAGACCAAAATGCATTATGCATGGACCACAAGTGGATTGAAATTAAGTCATTTTACATTTTTTTCTTGCCCATTTCTCCCCAAGCCCCTCCCACATCAACTACAGCCATTTCTAGAGTCAAAACTTTCCCCAAATTAAGATACACTCATAGCACAGAATAACAATTCAGGCTTCTTTTGTACTCCATTCAGAGACTCTTCACAAAAGTAAAGATCAAAAGACATATGAGCCATGTCTTAAGATAATGTCTTGGAATCACAATTGGTCCTCTGTGCCTAACTCCATATAGAAGATGGTAAGGAGAAGGGGGTCTCTCTAAACAGAAATGCACCAACTTTAGTCTGACAGAATTTACTTTTAATGTGATTAAAAAGGTGCAAATACTTTGTCAGCTAATCAAAATAAAATAAATAAGCATAAATACCAAACTAGGTAATTTTGAAATATATGGGTTCTTTCAATATATCTTTATAATTCACATAAAATGTCTGCCTGTAAAAAAATATCTAGATCAGAATAAAATTTAACTGGATTTAAAAACTTAATATCTAGAAAAGCTATTGAAAAGAATCAACACAAAAGGACTGGAATAAGAAATCAACAGTGGCAAGTAACTTGGGAAAAACAGACTGACAGATTTCTAAAATATTACTGGTGTTGAGGGAGACCTATTTTCATGTGATAACTATTTTTATTCAATATCACTGACTTTCAATTTATAGCAAAACTGATACATTCAATTCAGCTGCGTACTTCACAAGTACAAGTACAAAAATACCAATACAAAATCTATTTTAAATATCATGGTGACATTTATGTAAACATCTGGGAGAGTTCAGCAAAATATCTCTGCCCTTCGGCAGTCCTAATCCTTTAATCATGATTACTTCTTAGCCATCTCCTTCTGCTGTATTTTTTGACAATGCGAAAACCAATGGCATAAAAATTAACTCCAGTAAGATAAATGGTTAAATCAAACCTTGTTATTTCAATCTATGTTTTCCCAACCACTTTCCCTTAAAGCCAACTCTCAATCAAATTCAAGAAAATATGGCAATTCATTTTAGAGCATACAAAAAGTTTGAGCATGATAACGGAACCAACTTGTAAAATATAATTACAAAAGATTACAAAAATGTTATCTCGAACATCTTACTGGTGTAAATTGCATAAAGTCTCTCATGCAACATATGTCATTCAGAATAAAGAGGAAGGAACAGCATTTTTGACATCAACTCCATTTAGGAAATTGGATACCAAATATTCCCATCTTCAGTTGTTAAGATTCTTTAGTTAAAATATTATTCTATTTGCTCTAGCTATCACAATGAATCATGAAGAATAAATGTGTACAATGGAAAACCAATTACCTTCTTTTAACAGAGATTAAGCTAGGAAGGGCCTGTGTAGTAAGCATCCTATGTTATCTTATTCAAACTATCTGCTAACAACAGCAGGAAAAGCGTTGTATTCTTACCAATGAATTTCTGAGGCATTGAGCTTTTTCGTTTTGCCACATTGCTTGCTAATCTGTCCAGAACGAGAGCTCTTTCACTTCCCATCTCTGCTTTGATGTGTCTTGCCTCCGCACTTGCTGGTTTGGAAAATGTAAAAAGAAGAGGGAAAAGAACACGTTGGTAAATGGGGGAGAAAAGAAAATAAAGTGGAAGGAAAAGGGTCAGAGGTTTGATGCACACTCTGTTGTTACCTGTTGTTACTGCTCAGATTCTTGCCTGGGGAACCTGCTGTGGTCAGTGAAGCCAGGGCACCAGGGCACATTCAAATCTTGCAGTCCTTATGCTGAGATGGGAAAGCCCAACCCATCCCCAACCAGTACCTTCATTAGCAAGAGGAAGTATTAAATAAACAGCCTGGACGTGGTTGGTTGCAAAAACATAGATAGATGGAGATCTTCTAACCCCCGATCAGCCTTCTTTCTGATTCTGAGTAACTGCGTGTGACACCTGCAGACTGATATAATTCTTCTTAACAACTTTGAAAAAAAAAGTATGGTGCCCCAGATTTACTGCTCTGTTTATGTTAATAGCACTTTTGAAAATACACTTACCCAGATAGCAAGAAATCTACTCAGTGATTTGTGTATTGAAATTCTGAGTGTTTTTTTCTTTTCTTTTTCTTTCTTTCTTTTTTCCCCCTAGCATGCTCCTTTCAGTTCCTATCTTTTAAAATTCTATTTCTCTGGGCTCTGCATTATCTGTTTCATATGCGCTTCACATTTAAAAACTGTCTCAGTTAAAATTTCCCTGAGCAACACTTCTGTCTTGAAATTAAAGAGCAATTTGTATAATGAATCTTTATTACATTTCTAATGAAAAATGTGAATAAGAACTGCCTAAGAATATGGTCTAATTGTTGATCCACGCATAGACCTTCCAGTGGTATAGGCTTGTGGTTCTCAGACCTGCCTGAACATTAGAATCACCTAAAGAACATGGAAAACACACCTATGCCCAGGCCCCCATTTCAGATCAATTAAATCAGGATCTCTGGTATAGGGGCCTAGGCAATAATATTTTTAAATCTCTCCAGATGATTTTAAAATGTAGCCAGAATTGAGAACCAATGGAAGAATCAACTAAATAGTTTAAATAGTTAATTGGAATATATATATATATATATATATATATATATATATATATATATATATATATATATATATTTTTTTTACCCTCATACAGCAGGCAGTAAGTACCCAGTAAGAGTTCATGTTTAAAGTTCAATGACATACAGGCTGCTCTAAATATAAGGCTTTAAACTTGAACACATGATGTTAGTCCAAGCTAGAGATCAGCAACATTTTTCTGTAAAGGACCAGATAGTAGATATTTTAAACTTTGTGGGACACATACCATCTCTGCTCCATAGTCTCTGTCCCCCCTGCCCCATTCCACCCCACCCCACCCCAACTCACCACCCTTTAAGAATGTAAAACCCCTCTACACAAACAGGCTGCTGGCAACATTTGGCCTGAGGGTCACAGTTTACTCACTCCTGCCCTAAGCAAACATACTGTGATACTACAAACATTTCTCTCTGTTTTCTTGTAAGCATTTCAGGAGGCCTAAACTAAACACTAAAATGAAGGATCCGTAGGTTTCTAATGTCTCTAAGGAAAAAGAATTGAAATACATTTAAGAGATGAGAGTAAAAAGCAAGTGATGATTGCAGAATGGAATTTCCCCCCCCAACTATATACACAGATTTAGGAATTGTCAGTGCTTATTCTGTAGTGGAAGAGTTGGCTGTGTGAAAGGTTGCCTAATGTACGGAAATAATGTCACCAATTCCATGGTCTCTCAGACAGTCAGTGCCACAAATGGACAGGCCCAGAGAGAAAAACACTGGCCATCTTTGCAGGAAATGAATGACAGAGACCTCCAGGGCCAGACTGTCAGGTATGGTCAGGGCAAGAGAACCAAAGACAAACCAGAAAAAGAGAAATCAAAGTGCTAAGTAGTTTTCAATTTTATTGTGGGCATATTTTTGGTTTTGTTTTTTAAAACTCTAGGCCAGTCATTACATAATAAATCATGAAGCTCAGGACTTTTTAAAATTCAGGAATAAAATGATATCTGGCCCCAAAGCTGAATAAGAGAAGAGGATATTTACTAGATTTTGTGAGTTTCTTATCAAAAATAATTCTACACTCTCAAGAAATAAATTCTAGCCTCCAATTTAAGCTACTAACAACACTATTTGTGTAATGAAAACAAGGAAGGTCAGAATGAGGCCTGGGCAGCTTTTGGGCTAGCGGTGAAGTAATACAACTTTGGCTGACCGGCTGTTGTAAAGAAGTGGCACGTTAGTGACAGGACACTGCTATTGAGTGAAGTGGGTCAAATTCTGTCCAGCACAGGGATAGGTTTAAATGACCAAACAGGAAACTATTATATATATTATTTCCTTTCACACAAACCACCGCCAGATGTGGCACTCACTACTCAGAGCCCCAAAAGCAGAGAGACGAAAGACAAAGGCCTGGGATTGAAAATAAGTTCCTGAGGCTGTTATAAGGAGGCTTCTTCTTAGAAGCATCAGAGAGGCAGCGAAGTTTGTGTGTAGACTGGGAACAATTTATTCTGGTTTGAGCAACTGTGAGAGCATTAAATCCGGGTAAGTCTCCCCCTACCACTTTGTATTTATTACCAAAAAAATGTATAGTGACATGAGAATGAAGAACACTACTTTGGGAATTTTAAACTTTATCCCCGTTTTACCGCTATTCTTATTAGTTCCTTTAGTCATTCCTCTAATCATCGCCCAGACCCATGTCTGTTTCGTCTTAGGACTTTCCCAGGCATTGTGCTGCCAGTCTAGATTTCTCCCTTGTCTCTCAGCAGTCACTGTGTACATTTTACCAAAGTCTCTATCAATTACCACAAGCAGCTTTCTGGGAACACATACTCAATATCCTCTATATTTGGGAGGATGCTAAAGCGGGGCTACATTGACCTAAATAACGTAATTAGGGCATATCACTAAATGGCAAGCCTCTGAGATAACATCACCTTTTATCCCTGGTTACTCACCAAGCTTGTCTTCACAGTTACTTCTAGATACATCTTACCCTGTAAATCAGTGACCAAATGACTCACATTTTAAAAAGATGACATTCTAGAGGTTATGGATAGACAGAGAATTTGAGGCACAGGTGGACTTTCCCATTTCCACAACTCTGATTAGATTGGAAGAAATCCCCTGAAACTAAGCGGGAAGGTTTCATCTGCTCATACCCTCCTCCTGGATCATTTCCTCAAAATACCAACTCCAAGAGCCCATCGTCATTGTACATGTGAACACACTTTAGAGATTAAGTTCATCTTCACCGAGTTAACTGAGTTTTCTAATTGGCAAGTTAGGCAAAGGCCAAACTTTCAATTGAATATGGCACACTCTCATTTTCTTTCCCAAACTGCTAGATTTTTGCCTTGCAATAGCTGGACAGCTGCTGCACAATACCGCTAAATGACTGCCTTTTAAAACACAAAGAAATGCTGTGGAGTTAGACAATCTTTTTGGGATGACAAAGAGTTTAGGCAGTACACCGAAAAGGAAAAAAAAAAAAAAAGGACTATTGGCTTTTGGTTCTGGGCTTCAGCTTTAAGATCCAACTGTCTATTTATACAAATAGTCTAGACTTGTTATCTTGCTGCATCATGTCTTAAAAATGTAAGTGGAGGGAAACCAGTTTGGCAAGATAGTAAGGGAACAAGATAATGGGTGTAAATGACGAAATAGGAAATCCGTTCCTAGGTGGTATTTGGCAGTTTAATGTCGCAAGGGGTGGGTGTGGGGAATATGGGATGGTGGCAAGGAACAATTTGTACGCTTGGTTCATGAGTGAGTGTAGAAGGAGTGGGGCTGTAATTCTGGACCAATTTCCCTTCGTGGCACTTGCCTACTAGATAGTACATATACCAATTTTCATTAGCAAATGATTTTTAAGACATGTTGAAAAAAAAAATAACAAAACTGATATGAAGTCATAATCACAGAACAGATTACTACCTTTAATCTATGCAAACGTTTTAAATAGTTTGGTTTTTAGTTAACTGTTTACAGGCTGCAATTTCTATCTCAAAGTGATTTCAGATTTTATGTAATTTGTTGTGTTTTTGTTTTTGTTCAAAATCCTTCATTAGATCTTGAAGTGTTAAATGGAGCTCAAGTAAGAGGCATGCTTCCTGTCTCTTCTATGGTGTCAGTAGCTCATGGAGAGTGGAACAAAGGGGTGTTAATGTGCAATCAGAATTGTCTAGCAAGAGATTGCTATCAAAGACTGAGACAGGTTCTAACAAAAAAGTTACATAAAATTGTTGCCTTTTTGTGCAAGCAGAAAGAATATTACCTGTGAGATAGTATCAATTTTTAAAAAGAATAATCAGTTGGGAAAATAGACGATTAAAACGTTTTTTAACTTTTTCTTTGGTCTGCTACTTGGTAAAATACAAGTTTATTCTGAAACTCTTATGCTTGTATTAGCTCAACTGAAACAATGAGAATAAAGATAAAAGGTTTTGACTCCTAGATTCATAAATAAATATAATTATTCAATTACTTTAAAAATCTTGTTATTGCTAGAACTCATTGTCATACAAAAATATGTCCCACTCTAAGTATTCATAATTTGTGTGAAATGAGGCTAAATGAATCTCTATACCAGCTGTTAGTCCCTTTCTGGAATAAGGATCAAGCTAATGTGAAAATGAAATCTGGGGTATTCTGTAGTCATTCTTTTTTTCATATATACTCCATTAAGACAGCAGAATTGGATTATCTTGATGATGTCATTCGTGATGTCTGGAGAAGAAATGTGGACTGAAGTGGCAATATCACACATTTTCTATTAGACCTGGTGTTATATCAATAGATCAAGTACCCATTCCCTTGTTGGAGTGAATTCTTCAAGGGTAGAGCTTTAACCTTCACTCATCTTTACAAACAGCTCTGACACAGAGCCTGACACACAGAGAAGACAACAAATGCTATCAGTATAAAAGAAAAATGATCAATAAGGCCAGACGTTCTGTTGCCCAACACGGCATACTTTTGCAGACTAGTCTTCCACTCCAAGGCCTTTTTATCTGTCCTGCTTCCATAAAGGCTTGCTTCCTGTTGGGGACAGGTTGGTCTCAAAGCTTGGCTCTCACACTAGGCTGCACTTCAATTTATAATAAGCACTTGAAGAATAAGTGCTGAATCCACAGTAGCAATGGAGCACCATCACTTTAAAAGCTAGGTATGAAGGGATAAGATTTACATAGGGATAAAGATGACTACTTTAATCATCAGGTTCAGAATGGGACACTATGTCCAGACTGGGACTCCCAATTTTAGGAAGGAAAGAGAAATGGAAACCATATTGGTAATAATTAAAGTATTGGCTTGTGTTGGATTACACCATCTTTACATTTTGGATTTTGGGGAAAATCGTGGGAAATATTTGAAATATAAAAGAGAATAATACATTGACTGACATGCAGTATTTATTATATTTCATTAAGCTGTGGCTTTATATATTTTGTAACCTGAAACCACCATATTACAACATATTTGTTTAAAAAAAATCAAAACTTGCTGACTTAGTTAACCCTTTATTTTTTTGCTGAGACTTAAAATATGTTGCACGCATCCATCAAACCACCCTGTGAAATGCAAATGAACTCATCCTCTGTATTTCAGCATTTCCTGAATCACCTTATACCACTGAAGATAGCTCAAATATTTCTTTTGATACCTTCCTAATTTGAAATGTCTAAAAAAGGTTATGGTGAATGGGAAGTAAGGTGGTAATCTTACTTAAAAATTAATAATTTTGAGCTTGTTGTTCATAGAGGGTAGTGCACTTACTTTTCCCCCCAACTTCCAGGAGAATCAAAACACACACACACACACACACACACA